GGATGAGGGAAAAGAGTTAGCGGGACGGCTGAGGCAGGAGATTTTGCTCGAGATATGCAGGTGGGGGTGGTGAATCGACGACATACCTCTTCTCCTTCTAACTTTTTCTCTTCCTCGGGCACGAGTAAAGAAGGGCATGGATTTAGGCATTATTTTATTTCGTATAGTTTTACGTTATCTCATGGATTTAGGGGGCATTTTGTCGAATTAGGGAAAAGAATTAGCGGGACGGCTGGGGCAGGTGATTTTGTTGGAGATATGCAGGTGGAGGCGATGGTTATAACTTGTCTTCTTCTAGCCTTTTCCCTCCTTCAGGCATGTGTAAGCCAGAGCTTGAATTGAAGCAGTTTTTTCGCCTTTAGTTTTGTCGGTTTGAGGAAAAGAATCAGCGGGAAATCTGAGGCAAGAGCTTTACTTGAGGATGTGCAGGTGGGGGCGTTGGACCTACGTGATAACTCGTCTTCTTCTAGCCTTTCCTCTCTCTAAGGCATGGGTAATGAAAGACATGAATTGAGGCATTACTTTCTCGCGTGCGATGACAAGCGCTTCTACCTGACGCGCGCGCAGCCCCTGCGCCGCACCGTCAGCTCCGAGAGCCTGGAGAACCTGGCCGATGGCGGTGGTCCCGCGTCGTGCCTCGACATCTTTCAGCCCCTCCCCTCGCTCAGGCACGCGTAAAGGAGGGCATGAAATTAGGCATTATTTTATTTCGCATAGTTCTCGCATTATCGGATGAATTTAGGTATCATTTTGTCGGTTTAGGGAAAACAGTTAGCGGGACGGCTGAGGCAGGAGCTTTTGCTGGAGAAATGAAGGTGGGGACGGAGAATCGACGACATACCTCGTCTCCTTCCAGCTTTTCCTCTCGCTCAGGCATGTGTAATGAAGGACATGCATTTAGGCGTTATTTTATTTCGCATAGTTTTGCGTTATCTCATTGATTTAGGCAGCATTTTTCAGCAGCATTATCAATTAGCGGGCCAGCTGAGGCAGGAGCTTTCGCTGAGGATGTACAGTTGAGGGCGGTGAAACGACGACATAACTCTTCTTCTTCTAGCCTTTCCTCTCCATCATTCATGTGTGACGGACTTGAAGTGAAACATTACTTTTTCACACGCGAAGGCTAGCGCTTCTACCTGACGCGCGCTCAACCGCTGCGTCGCACCTTCAGCTCTGAGAGTCTAGAGAATCGGGCGGATGGCGGAGGCGGAGGTGGTTCCATGTCGTGCCTCGTCATCTTTCAGCCCCTTCCCTCGCTCAGGCATGTGCAAGGAAGGGCATGAGTGTAGGAATTATTTTATTTTGTGTTTAATTTTGACGGTTTGGGTGAAACGAATGAGCGAGGGCAATTGAGCCAGGAGATTTCACTGGGGATATATAAGAAACGACGTTATAACTCGCCTTTTTGTAGCTTTCCCTCTCCCTCAGGTAAGCGTAAGGAAAGACATGAATTTAAGTATTTTTTTTGTAACATTTTGCATATTTTCTTTAATTTAGGCATAATGTCGGTTTATGGAAAAGAATCAACGAGACGGCTGTGTAGGAGCTTTCGCTGGGAATATGCGGGTGGGGACGGGGAACCGACGTCATAACTCGTCTTCTTATAGCATTTTCTCTCTCTGAGACATGTGTAAGGATAGACTTGAATTGAGGTATTGTGTTTGTCCATTTAATTTTTTTCGGTTTCGCAATAAAAATAAACGTGTTCGCTGGGGCGGGGGCTGAGGTAATAATAATGATGATAATAATAATAATAATAATAATAATAATAATAATGTCTTTATTAATGGCTAGGCTCAGGCCATAGGACCTGCTCTTCCGCCTAACCACTGAATTTACATACATTTAGAGTAGTAACAT